GCTAAGTCTTACTCTTTAAAAAGAATTGTTCCTTGGGTCTAATTTTTGGATGTCATAGTTCTTGTACTTAAAATTTTATCCTTTAAACTGAGTCTATTTAAAATACCAGTTATTATTACAAGGTAGTCCTATGAGCTTTGAGAATGTCTGAAGAACACATTAATTTAACATAGATTGCTTATCAGTTCTATCTTTGAGACCATGTGAAACCTCAGCCTTCTTTTCTCCTATTTCCATTGAGAATATTTTACGCTCTCTCCTTGCTGAGCTCCTGATGACTTAAGGATAGTTTGAAGTGACAGTAGGACTTGAAAATTCATAGTATTGCTGCAGCATGTGGCTTTGTGTGAATCCTAGTATTAATTTACCAAATCTGGAGAAGGACTTTGCAAATCTTAAAAGCCTGGGAAGAGCTGTATTTCTTTGGTGTTTATTTATTTATTAATTGTCTATGAAGTATCAGTAATCAATTACTGAGTAATCAGTAATCACTGTGTATTTGGTACTGGCCTTAGAATTTGGAATAGTTGTTATTTAAGACATAGTCTTAAAGGCAAAGCCCAGAATAGTGTTCAACAGTGGTTGTCCATGCACTTTATAGGACTGATTTATACATAGGGCAAGGACATGTAATGAGGGCAGGGAGAACACAGGTGGTAATGTTTTAGTCTTAGAAGGATGGTCCATATTTAAGCTAAAACTTGTGAGTCATAACAAATACCATAGAGTTGATGTGAAATCTCCAAAAATCTCAGTATGGGAGAGCTTACCAGCTTACTTTAGAGGCATAGTCTAAAGAGAGCCACATATGACATGTTAGGATGTTTGAATATACTCTGAATAAAAAGGAACCATGAATATCTTAACAAGGGTTGTATTATAACCATATTTTAATGGTAAAAACTTGCTTAGGAACAAAAGCTTGTACAAATTCCAGATTACTATTCTATTAATCCACACAAGGGGAAACATCCTTCAAGGCTGAGGTGAAGAGTAGCTGGGTCAGGTGGGAAGACAGGATTATGCAGAGATTGTGAGGGAGTACACAAAGGATAGATTTCCCAAGTGTTGGGAAGCATCCATTTATAGGACATAGTGACACATTTGATGTGGGTGAAGATGAAAGGTAAAATCAAAGTTTAGGAGAAGAGTGAGCTAGGCTTCATGTGATTGTGGGACTTTCATCTACATATCCCAGAGAACCCAGATGTACACTGTTTAAGGAAGTTAGTACAAACACCTGAAAGTTCACTGAATCCATGTGTAGTGGTTTGAATGAGGATAACCCCCATAGGTTCATAGATTTGAATGCTTGGACACTAGGGAGTGGAACTATCTGGAAGGATTAGGAGATGTGGCCTTGTTGGAGGAAGTGGGCCATTGGAGGTGGGCTTTTAGGATTTTAAAAGTCCAAGGAGGCCAAGTGGCTTTCTCTTCCTGCTGTGTGCATAACCAAATGTAGAACTCTCAGCTACTTTTCCATAGCCTCAACCTCTTACAATTCTCAACTTCATCCTTAGTCTGATCAAATTTGGGGAACTGACACTGAGTATGGAATCTGACTGTTGTTTTCCCCGTGTTCAGGCTTTTCCTTTTTGTATCTGGATGCTTTCATTTATGACACTGAAATCTGCTGCGTCCATCCTTCTTTCTCTTTTTACTCACAGCTCAATAGAATTGTTTCTTTCTCCAACCACTCTGGACCACATAAGATCAGTTCCAGCCTTCATTTATTTTAGAACATTAAACATTGTCATTCCTTTTTTTCTGATATTTTCTTACCACACATTTCCAGTGTGGACTAGGAATGGCAGTGCATACATGGGCCTCCACTACTGTGTGGATCAGAGTATCTCTTTCCAGTCCTGGATAGTGTGTTTGCACATCTCTACATGGTTCCTTCCCCCAAACTTGCAGTCTCCAGCCTTCATCACTTTCTTTCTACTTCTTTCCTCATTAATATCTTGCCTCAATATTATATTTTGTTTCAAATAGGAAACTAAAGAGATTATGTCTGGGTCCTTTGACTATGAAGTGAATGACCTCAAATATTTATAGATGCTGTTATCCATCCTTTCATCTCAGCACAAAGAACATAAGAAAAGAGCAATATTCAACAACCCTCCTGTGTTTTTCTGATCATTTCTTTTTCGACTCTTTCCCCCTCAATATTAATGTTTTTAATATAATCCTTTACCTTATCCATAGATGCATTTACTTTTTGGTGTGTGTGTGTGTGTGTGTGTGTGTGTGTGTGTGTGTGTGTGTGTGTAGGTACACGTGTGTGAATGCACATATATACAAGTGTGTATAGAGGCCTGAGCTTGGCATTGGGTGCCTTCCTAAATCTCTCTCACCTTATTTTTTTTTGAGACAGGGTCTCTCACTGAACCCAGAGCTTGACAATCTAGGCTGGCCAATGAACTTGAGAGGAATGAATGCCTATATTTGTTCCTGAACACTGGGTTTAGAGACACATACCATCAGCCTGACTGCAGATTCGAAGTTAGGTTCCCATGCCTGCATAGTGGGCACTTTACTGACACAGCAGTTCCCTGTAGCTAACACACATCTTCTCTTTATTTATTGTTTTAAACTAGGTGTATATATGTGTGGAAATGTACACAGGTACCCTCATAGTGCAGGAGAGGATATCAGATCCCCAAGACTCAAGTTAAATGCAGTTGTGAACTGTGTTTATGTGAGCTGCACATAGCTGCTGGGAGCTGAACTCAGGTTTTCTGCAAAATGCATGTTCTTAATTCCTGGGACATCTCTCCAGGCCTTCTTATAAAAAATGTGAAAATCCTTATTTTTCTAGTGGAGTAACTGTGGCTGCCACAGATTTAATTCTCGAGAAGGAAGCCCGAGGACACTCAATAAGTATAAATAGAGAGGCTCTAAAGGAATTTATTTTGAAGAATACCTAGTATACATGAGAGATAACTCTAGGTCAATAGAACTTTCTTCCTATAAGACACATACTATTACATTTCCTTTCTATTAAACTAACTTCTTTCTAGCCAGGCATGGTGTTGCACACCTTCTGTCCCAGCACTCGGGAGACAGAGGCAGGAGGATCTCTGTGAGTGATCAGTCTGTTATATGTAATGGGACAACAAATTGTAGAACCTGTTATCACCTTTGATGGGTAGTGACAAGATTGAAGCAAGTATATAGCCCTTGAACTGTGTATATTAAATGTAAAATGTTTACATAAATTAGTGATATTTGTATATATATTCATGTTTGAATGAGATTTTTTTCATATGTGTATTTTTTGCCTGTGCATATTTATACATATGAGTATGTATGTGTGCAGGTGAAAGCCAAGGTGTTCTCTATTGCTCTACACCTTATCTTTTAAGAGAGGATTTCTCACTGAACCTGGAATTGCCAACTCGGTCTAGACTGTCTAGTTTGTGAGCTGAAGGGATTTCTCATCTGTTCTCCCCATTCTAAGATCACAGATGGGTACTTCTGTGCCTGCTCTTTTGAGTGAGTTCTGAGGATCAAAATGCAGATTCTCATGTGTGTATGGCAAGTACTTTCCTATGGAGCCTTCTCCCCAGCTCCTTTTTAACAGTGACTATAGTTGAGGTACAAGTACAGATTGCTATTACTAGGACAGAAAGAAATAAAGCACAATGCTTGTGTAGAAAATTAGGTCCAGGACATTCTCATTCTCATTTTCTCACACTTGGCACTGACTTATGAGTGACATTGGCTCCAACTATCAAGGTAACTCCCTTAAAGTGGATAATTTTTGAAACTGAGTAGTTGTTGGAATGTCTGTTGTGTGGCCAGGATTAGGTATAATACAAAGTGGTCTTGAGTTCTTCACTTAAAACTCTTAAATACTTTATATACATTTTACTCTACCTTTGAAAATCTAATAACATAATGCCCCAGAAATATATCTTAAATCAGCTATTTTTAATTTGACTAATCATTGCTATCTTTCATATCTTTGGCTGAAATGACAGATGTCTCTAGTTTTCCCATAAATTTTGTGAAATGCTGTCGTGTGACTAGGCCATTTTTATTGTGGCTCACAAGAGTTGATTTTTCACATCTTTCCAGCTCTCCGGCCACTGGACTGAATCAGTCATAGCAGAAGTGTTTGTTTTAGAATTAACACACATCATTAACCATGGCTCTCCTCCCCACACTTCCCTTCAGTTCACTCAGCTCAGCACTCCCTCCTCTCTTCTCCCATCCCCCTTTACCTTTCTATTTACTAGCATACCTCTGAAGATATGCTCTTATTTTCCTGCTAAGAATTTAATATCAGAGATGTAGCTCCTTATGTGATGTCACTATATCAGAAGCTTTATAGGACCTAGCAGAGGCTTACTAAGCATAATATGAACACAGTAGTAGTTCTTATTTTCTGTTGAAGTGGTAAATCCCAGTGGGATTTGGATTTTCATTATAGGTTAAGTATCCCTGTGAATTGTTCATTTCTCCTCTCCTTCATGTTGTAGTTTATATTTCCCAATCTCCAGTTTTGCACATGCCAGACACTCCTGCAGCACTGCGCCACACCCACAGTCATCTATTTTAATTTTTTGTTAATAATAGTTTAAAATGAGATATTGAGGTTTCTATGTTTCTCTTATCTCCAGTAAACATGAATTGATTTTCAGGCAATCACTGATACTTTAAGTATGGCCTGTTTTCGAATTGTTTTGTCATGCTTGGTTTTCTGACACATATTTACACATATTAAGTCAGAATTTGACTTAATAAAGTTTATTCTGCTGCTGACTCTTTTTGTGAACCTAAACAGGTTTCCTTAGCTATTCACTATGGGAGATATGACCAGTGTCTTCTAAGGTCATGGCTATTCACACCATCATTAAAACTCTTAATTCCTAGCAAGTAGAATATCTCTTATTCTTGGAATACTAGTATAGGATGTACATCCTAAATTATAATCAACCTTTAGAAGTAAAGTCTATCATCTTGTTTGCAATAAAGATCTTTTCTTTTACCAGTTTCAGGAGCTAAAGCTGAGGGAGTTCTACTGTGAGGGAAATCCACTCTTCGTGAAGCAGCCAATTACTGCTAAACTACCTAAAGTCATCTGGACTCTACAGGTGAAGGTTTATCTCATAAGCATGAACCTTCGCACTACACCGATGGTTCAAGATGTAAAGCATTCTTGGCAAGTCAGCAAATGTGTAACACTGGTCCATTAAGAATGTGGATCCTCCATGTCATTTTTTGACTTGCTCACAGAATTCAGTGTAATTTGATTTCCAGACTGTCTCAACACAGAGAAGTGAACATTTTTCATTGGATGAAAAGCAAAGAGGAATTTATTTTTACTTTAACTTTCTAAATTATTCTTTGCTGGTAGTGGGCTCTTTATTGCTTTTGTTTTACTTTCACTTGTCTCCTTTCCTATTGAGTGCATGGACATGATCTGGAACTCACTGTGTCCAGTTTGGTGAAAGTAATTAATGATATCAGGAGAAAGACCAGAGAAGCATATTGAAGGACTCCTTAACTACCATACAAGATAAAGACCACAGATCCTCCCAGTGTTGAGCATGATTCTCTATCATGAATTTTGATATACCAGATTCATTTGGATCTAAGGCTGAACATACAAGATTGCTTCAGGTGGAAATTAATTATAATGCTTCTAAAATTGTTTTCTTATCGTGAAAGCAATATAGATGCATGTATAAGAATAGGAAAAAGCCATTGACAATTGGTGAAAACTCAGAAATCCAATTAGCAAGGTATTACTACCCTCTGACTTTCTTGTGCATTTGGAATATATTTTAAATTTAAAGTGAATCAATACTCTATCTGCTACTTAGAGACTCACATTTCTTCTCCTATTATTGTGAATGTCTTTTTAATCAAAAACATTAAGATATCTTTTTAGATGAATATATGCTATTGTGTTACATCATAGTATTTTAAATATTTTCTCACTGTTAGATGTTAAGATCATTAATATTCACCCATTTTTGTCTTTACATATGAGGCTAAACTGACCATATTCACAGTAGATGTCTTTCATGTCCATATTTTCTCAATGAATAAAATTGTAGTGGATAAGAACTGTTTTCTTTGAAGATCAACTCTTTTCAAATTCTTTTCTGGAGATTATTTTCATAAACAGCATTGTTTTCTACTCTTGTATGGGAAAATTTTATTTGAAAATTAAATTGATTAAATTCATTATTTAAAACTGTCTTATTTCTTTTAAGCCTCTATAACTTGTTCTTTTTTCTCCTGCATCAAGCATACCAAAGAAATAATTCTAGTTACTTATTTTAAGGTTTCTGTGGACAGGTACTATACTTATGAACACAGTAGTTGTTTGATTGCCATCAAGAGGTAGGTGTCTTCATTGTACCCCTTTTATAGACAGAGAAACTAATACCTAGAGAAGCTAACTAACTTGTTCACAGTTGCAGAATTTATGTTGGGGCTTGAGTGTTGATGACAACTTCTAAAGTTGGCCTGCAGACCCCACACTTCAGTATTGTTAAGAGATAGGGTACAGAAGGGTAAGCAGATTGTCTTAGGATTGAGGATATGAGATTCTAGATAGTGGAGAAGGCTGAATGAATAGTTAATCTGATGTGGTAGCTTAAGAGGTATAGAACATTTCTTTTAATTTTTAAAATTATAAGGTCCAGGAACTAAGAGTTATTTCTATGCATATATTCATAATGAATATATGCATGGGTAGATATATTGAATAGATTATATAGTAGAAATTATTAGTTTTACTTATAATATATAAATGGTTTAGTGGTTTCGAAAATACTATGAATTTTTCTCAGAATGGTGGATCAAACTGACAGTATATTTTTACTCAATGTCTTTTTCTAGTAGACATTTGGTTAACATTAACAATTAAATTCCTTTGGGTTTCAATGGTCCATAGGGCTTTGAAACTGTATCTGCTTTAGTAGAGAATTTTTAAAAGGTGTACTTGGTCATTTAGGTCTCTAATCCTAGCTACATGGAAGGCTGAGGCAGAAGCAACACAAGTCTAAGGCTTGAAGTATCAAGTGACTTCTAAGCCAGCTTGAATGACCTAGACTATGTTAAAATTAAAAGTAAAGTGAGGGTTGGGGATATAGCTCAGTGACAGAATGCTGGCAGTATCAACAAAAGGTTTAAGAACCTTCCTTACCTCAGAAATTTATTAGCTAGAATCTGATGCAGGCCAAATGCTTTGCTACTATATTAGCTCTCTATAGACTCTGTCGTAGTACTAGAAAAACTCCCATTTTACACATGAGATATTTGGGACCAGGTGAATTAAGAACTTGTCCAAATAAGTCCATGAAGCCAATACCTTATTGAAGCAGTGTGTAAAACTCTGTACATGATAGACCCAGAGCCCTTGATTACGATGCTGTGTGTTCTGCCTTCTGTGGTCACAGTAGTGGTTCATTACAGAGTCATTTTCAAATCTACCCTTCCTTCTAAAGATTCATATTTCTTTCTATGTTTTATAATTTTTATAGTTACATGGATATAAATGTTCTGCCTTCTGTGGTCACAGTAGTGGTTCATTACAGAGTCATTTTCAAATCTACCCTTCCTTCTAAAGATTCATATTTCTTTTTATGTTTTATAATTTTTATAGTTACATGGATATAATTTGTGGACATATAATTTTAAAATTCATATGACCATATGTAAGAAAATTTAAGAGTGCATATGAATTTACGTTCAATTTATAGTACATTAGAAATAGGAAATACGACCTGCTTAAAATATTCTAACAAAACAACATACAGGTGATTCAAAATAAACAACTTATTATTTATAAAAACTTCTTAGATTTAAAATAACAATGGAATGATGTCATAATTAAATGTCAGAAAATTCACGAAATGTGTCTCTAAGAGGTGTCCTAAAAGATACTAGTAATCAGGTGATGTTGTCACACACCTTTAATCCTAGTCCTTGGGAGGCAGAAGGTGGATCTTTGAGTTTGAGACCAGCCTGATCTACAGAACAAGTTCCAGGATGGCCAAGGCTACACAGAGAAACCCTACCTCAGAAAAAAAAACTTAGAAGATACTATTGGTCATGTTAACAGTATTTTGTTTTGTGTAATCACATTTCCAAGAAAAAAACCTTTAAATTTTAATCACATAACATTATTCTTGCAAAGTAATGTTTTGGCTTCAAGGAGAATTTAAATAATGACTGATACATTAGTTGTCAGGTGATATATTGAAATAAACAAATTTGTTTGGGTCAAGAAATCACAAATGGTAAAAGTAATCTATATTACTTATGTTTGTATATTCAAGATAATTCTCCTGTTTCTGTCTGGAAAGTGAATCCCTGTCTGTGTGTTTTCTCTATACTAGAACCAGGCACCCACTTTGTCTAATTAGCTAATGACATACCTCTAAAAACAAACATTTCATTTCGAATCATGAACTATGCTCTTGGGAAGCAGTCAGAGAAAAGGTGACATTAAGCCTCTGAAGGTTGGAGTCATGATAGTGTTAGTGTTTTCAGATTTATTCCCTGTGTTCACCATGGCCATTTCCCACTCAGAAGGTGATGCTGGAGGATCTGTCACACAAGAAGCCCATGCCCAAGGTGCTTTGCTGTATGTGATGATCTTCCAAAATGCTTGTTGACTGGTAAGCATGGGCATAGCAAGGAGCAGGCCCACAGCAATTCATAGGAATTCCTTGTTATTTTTAAAGACTTAAATTTAGCATGCATTAGGGAGAGTTTTTTTTTTTTATAAAAATAGAGATATGTATATAATTGACTAGCATCCTGATATGGACTATTAGAAAACCCTTATTTTTGGGCAGGAAAATGTGTCCCAAATAAACTGTCCCCATACATTCTTTAAATTTCAAGCAGTGTTTGTGCAATATGAACTTCCATGAAAAATAAACACACACTGCTTCATAAATACAAGCATTGTTTATGCCATGCTGGCATACTGGATATGCGTGCTTCTGGGGAGTTAAGCAAATGCTTATTTTCTTTGTTGGGTCAGTGAAGGTTAAATTTTAGGTGATGATAATTATGGTACTGGTGAAAGGCAACTTCTTTTTCTTCATTACTTTTTCATTATTTATATTTTGGTGGTTAAAGTCCAGTGTTGTGTATATCAGCATGGCTAAGTTTAACACAGATTGATAGTAGGGGTCGGTTCACATGTGCTAATGTTCCCTTAGGGACGCAGAGTTGACTGGTCTGTGAGCTGTAGTTCAGACAGTAACAACTTAGATCCTAGTGAATACAGCTGACTCTTTCTGAGTCTAGGTTGCATGTGTGTGTGGTCCTTGCTTATTGTAGCAAAAGGTACAAAACCTAAGTAAAATGACATCTGATTTTATTAAACACATAATGTAAATTTATATGTCTTACATGTATGGGATATAAAGATGGTTGAAGGTACCCACTTTTCCTGTATTTGTAAAAGACACTTTTTTTAAAAAATGGGAGCCACATGCAATGTAAGTCATTATATATGATGCAGAATCTTAGATTAATAAACAATAAAGATTTTGGAATTAATGTATAAATTTTGAATTAATTTGAAGAACTACTTTTTTTTTCAATTTAGGAAATAACAGCAAGATTTGTCCTCCATCAGTTACAAGAAAACAATCAGTTGATTATGTATTCACTAGAGTATTATCCAGAGATCAAACACAAAATCTCCAAGGCAAAAAAATGTGTGTTGTGTGGAAAACCCTTTTTATCCGAATGGCTGGAATGTGTCCAGTTTGTTCCCCCATCAAAGGTAAACAGCACTTTTTTGGGGGGGGGTATGAGAATAAGCGCTCCTATATTCGTTCTTTTAATGATATTTGTACTGAAGAAAGATAGACTTCTTTGCTAATATTTATGATAAATACAGATAACTATGTTATAATCATTATTCCTTATTCCACTGGAATTTAAAGTCTTTATCTCATTACATACATTTCATCAAAATTCTATGAATACTGGGCATGGCCACACATACCTGTTATTCGGTTATTCAGCATGTGGGAAACATAGGTTGAAAATTCACTTGTTTAATTTTCAGTTTCAGTGGAAATTTTGGAAATCTTGCCATTCTTAATTGTCACTGCTCTATGGGCAGTGGGACCTGGGAGAATGCAGCAAATCAATAAGGGGGACTAAAGTCTCATGCAGCAGGTAACTTTATTCAGAGCTTCAGACAGCTTACACTGAGCGTTAAGAACGGTCACATGAGTGAAGTTCTTATGAGTTCAAGCAGTGTACAGTGTACAGCAAGGACAAGCTGCACATGGCAAAAATGTATTTTTCCATAGAGGCATATAGAGGATAGTTAGACATTGAATTAATTAAAACAGCAAATAGTAATGAGTAATCTGAAGTAAACTTGCTCCTGTCTGTTGCACCTTATATAAGCATGAAACACATTCCAAGAACAATTCTGTATTTTGAAGAAACTGAGGTCACAAGACTTGTTTTGTTGGGGTGTTCTCACTAGTACTCCAAATTCCCCTCAAATGACTCCATTCCTGGACCATGTCACCTGGGGCAGTTGTCAGTGGGCAGTTCACATAGTTCATGTAGCAAGTTTTACGCGAGGTTTAGAAGACTACTTTCACTGTGGATGACCAAATAGCAAATGAGTTAGGCATTGTCGTCTCTATCACAATTGTGTAACTGTTTTGTGGCAGGAAGGCATCAGTAGGCAATATGTAAATGAGTGTGAACTTTATATTTAAATTTCATAGAATTTTCTCAGGTTGCGAAATGAACTTCTTTTTTTCAACCACTTAAAAATATCAAAGCATCTGTAACTCCTATGTCATGAGAACAGAATGTGGAACAGGCAGTGCCCAGGGAACCTCAACTTTGCTTACATCTGTTCAAGCCCACCCAGAATTTGTTCTTGGCACTAATTTCTTGACTTGTGTTGGTAAGCAGTTGGCCATTCCTGGGACAGCAGAGTATAATACTTGATACTGTTAAATAGATGGCAGATGCATTCTCTGCTATTCTATAGATGATCATCTGGTTAGAGGGGGCAATACATAAAACAAACCAAATGAACATACATGTAACTATAAATCATGTTATATTATGATGTAAAAGGATAAGACAGTTTTTTAAAACTTATATGACTACTACTGAGTAATTTAAAATAACAGAAATTTATTGTCTTGTGATTTGGGAAGCTAGAGGTTCCAATGTCAAGTTACTGGCAGGATCAGCTTTTTTCTGGATTGTGGCTTAATCTGTTCTACTCTACTCCTGTTGCCCTTTTAGTTTTACTTGTCAGCTTGGATCTGGGATTGCCCAGAAGATAAGCTTTCCAGACACACCCTTGAGGAATTGTTTTTTTTTTTTTTTTAGCCTCTGGCCATGCATATAGGGATTATGTTGACTTGATTAGTTGAAATTGGAAGGCACACTCTAAAGGTGGACCTCATTTCCTGAGCTTGTGTCATGGAATGTCCTATGCAAAATAAAACTCTGGATGAGCACAGACACTTACCATTTTCTGCTCATTAACTATGAGTGCAATGTGATATGACCCCTCCACCATGATGGACTGTACTTTTGACCTGTGAGCCAAAGTAAACCGATTCTCTCTTAAGCTGGTTTTGTTGAGTATATAGTAACAATAAAAATAACCAAGACAACAGCTGTCACCCTGTGTCCTTTCATGTTACCATCCTTTTTCATGGATCTATAATCAAATCTTCCATTTGAGCATGACCATCAAATCATCAAATCATCTTAAGTTCCAAACTAATGACCTCATATTCAATTGATCACCTTGGCAAAACACATTTATCCAAATAAGATCAGTTTTGAAAGCACTGAAGTTTTCCTCATGTGAATTTGAATGAGATGCAGTTCAATCCACAATTAATAGATTCCATACACAAAGCATCAGGAAAGCTCATTGTACCAGGCATTTTTTTAAGCCGCCACCCAGCTCCCAAATAATGAAGACTGAGACTTATTATTAATTTTGAATGATCGGACTTGACTTAGCTCTTGTTTTAATCTGTTTCTCTTCATCTACATTTTGCCACGGAGCTTCCCTTCTTTCCTTCCTTCCTTCCTTCCTTCCTTCCTTCCTTCCTTCCTTCCTTCCTTCCTTCCTTCCTTCCTTCCTTTCCTTTCTTTCTCCCTCCCAACTCCCTTCCCTCACCTCCCTTTCTCTTCCCTACTCTCCCCTCCCTCCCTCCCTCTCTCCCCTCTTTTTTTATTTTTTTATTTTCCAGTTTAAATTTAGATAAGAAACGAGGTTGCTTCACAAGTCAGTTCCAGGTCCCTCTCCCATTCCCTCCCCTCCTCCCGTGCCCTCCCCCTAACCCCTCCCCCCATTATCCCCTCATTCCCCCAGGGAGGGTGAGGCCCTCCATGGGGGTGTCCATAGTCTGTCATTTCATATAGGGCAGGGCCTAGACCCTTCCCCAAGAGTTCAGGGTGAGAGTGCACCTCACATTGTTATATGGGAGTCCAAAGTCCGTGTGTATACTTGGGATGGGTACTGATCTGCTGCCCAAGGCTCAATAGATTCCCTAGGCCTCCTCACTGACACCCAAATTCAGGGGGTCTTGATCAGTCCCATGCTGGATTCCCAGGCTGATGCCTGGGATTCAAGAGTTAACCTTTGTCTAGTCAGCTGTTTCTGGGGGTTAAACCAGCCCAGTCTTAATCCCTTTGATCACCAGTCCTCCCTCTCTGTTACTGGCTTTCTTGAGTTCAGCTCAGTACTTAACCAAGGGAGTCTGCCTCTTCTTCGATCAGCCACTAAATGAAGTTTCTGTTTCCCAGACTCTCTGGCCATAGGATTGTAGGCTGGCACTCCCCAGATCTATGTCTAAAATCCATATATGAGAGAGTACATGCCATGTTTCTCTTTTTGTGACTGGGTTATCTCACTCAGGATGGTTTCTTCTAGTGTCATCCATTTGCCTGCGAATCTCATGATTCCATTATTTTTTTCTGCTGAATAGTACTCCATTGTGTAGATGTACCACATTTTCTCTATCCACTCTTCCGGTGAGGGACATCTAGGTTGCTTCCAAGTTCTGGCTATTACAAATAAAGCTGCTATGAACATAGTGGAACAGACATCTTTGTTGTATGAATGGGCATCTTTTGGATATATGCCTAAGAGTGGAGTTGCTGGGTCTTGTGGTAGGTTTATTCCCATTTTTCTGAGGAATCTCCATACTGATTTCCAAAGTGGCTGAACCAGTTGGCACTCCCACCAGCAATGGAGGAGTGTTCCCCTTTCACCACATCCTCTCCAGCATAAATTGTCATTGGTGTTTTTGATTTTAGCCATTCTGACAGGAGTGAGATGGTATCTCAGAGTTGTTTTGATTTGCATTTCCCTGATGGCTAAGGATGTTGAGCACTTTCTCAAGTGCCTCTCAGCCATTTTAGAGTCCTCTATTGAAAACTCTCTATTTAGTTCTGCAGCCCACTTTTTAATTGGGTCCTTTGCTGTTTTGGAGACTTGCTTCTTGAGTTCTTTGTAAATTTTGGAGATCAACCCTCTGTCAGATGTGGGATTAGTGAATATTTTTTCCCATTCTGTGGGCTGCCTTTTTGTCTTGCTGACTGTGTCCTTTGCCTTACAGAAGCTTCTCAGTTTCAGTAGGTCCCATTTATTAATTGTTGATCTCACTGTCTGTGCTACTGGTGTTATGTTCAGGAAGCCCTCTCTCCCCTCTTCCCTACTCTCCCCTCCCTCTCTCTCTCTCTCTCTCTCTCTCTCTCTCTCTCTCTCTCTCTCTCTCTCTCTCTCTCTCTCTCTCTCTCTCTCTCTCTCCCCCCCCCCTCTCTCTTTCTTTCTATGTCTTACTCTGTCTACCTGGTCAGTAGCTGCTTGGTTGGCAGACCTCAGTTGTCTTTCTTTCTTTCTTTCTCCCCTCTCCTTTCTTGAGCTTAGGTTTCTCTTCCTACTTATTCTCTCTGCCTGCCCTCTCCCTCTCCTGCCTTGCTATTGGCCATTCAGCTTTTTATTAGAGCAATCAGGTGCCCTTGGCAGGAAGGTGAAACAAATGCAACACATCTTTTACAATCAAACACAACACAAACAATTGTAACACATCCTTATACTGGTAAACAAAGGCAACATAAACAAATGCAATACACCTTTACACAGTTAAAGCAATATTCCACTGCATAAATAAAATAATATTCCACAACAGCTCATGTTTTGAAATCTGAAACAAGGGAGGTCCTCACTGAGGAAAGGGTGTTTTGACTGAAGCAAATGACAAGAAGTAGTTGGTCAGGCAAAGAGTTAGAGAAGCACATGCTAAGACTTGGCGAATGGAAGTTCCTCTGTGGCTGGAGGGATGGGCAAACAGTTCACTCTGTGCAGTATGCATTGCTAGGCAAGGCAGATGTCGTTAGGAATGGTTAGGTTTGGTTTCTATGTGGTGAACAGTGAGACACCATTTAGACTTTTAAGGAAAGACTGACATGTCCTGATTTGTATTTTAAAAGGTAATTTCTGAACGAGAATGGATTAGAGACAGTCAAATGGATTAGGCAATCAGCCAGGTGACTTTTGTGTCAAAATCAGGTGAGCGATAAAGGTCAGGTAACAAATGATGATGACAGTGACCTTAGAGAAAATGCATTGGAGATGTATTTGGAGGAAGAAGTAGAAAGACTTCCAGTTTTCTGACTTAAATTATTACATAGTGCTTTTTTTTTTAAAAAAAAACAAAAACAAAATTGGGATGATTGCAGGAGAAATAGTTCTGCAGTGGGTTAAGCATTCAA